CAGAATAAGATATTGTAAGAATATCGTCCAAGAAATCATGTATATCGTTGGCTTTAACGTTTCAAAAGATTTTGACATAACAAACGCACATTATTTACTCATTACTCAGTAATATCGTTTTATTTCCCTTCCTGCTTTTTAAAAAGTTTCTTTCTGCTTTCTTAAATTCTGAGATTTATCAGACATATTGAAGTTCATTTTTTGCTTAAAGGAAAATAATTTCAATAAATCATACTGCAGTATTTGCCATCTAACAATTGTTTGAAATGCTAAAAGCAACTATGCAACAAATCACTCTTTAAAACATACTTTTGTGCAATTTGAAATAAGTGCAGTATGTTATTATCATATATAAATATATTTCAAATTTTATACTATTGTTTTTTGTCATTTACTATCCATTTATTTTCAAGTTAAAATAATTTGGTAGTAAAAGATAACTTATGTCGTTGCTAACTTAAAAATAGATAGATAGATAGATAGATAGATAGATAGATAGATAGATAGATAGATAGATAGAACATAGATAGATAGATAAATGGATAGATAGATAGATAGATAGATAGATATGAACAGAAATAGATAGATAGATAGATAGATATGAACAGAAATAGATAGATAGATAGATAGATAGATAGATAGATAGATAGATAGATAGATAGATATGAACAGAGATAGTTAGATAGATATGAACAGAGATAGATAGATAGATAGATAGATAGATAGATAGATAGATATGAACAGAGACAGATAGATAGATAGTTACATAGATATGAACAGAGATAGATAGATAGATAGATAGATAGATAGATAGATAGATAGATAGATAGATAGATATGAACAGAGATATATAGATAGATAGTTACATAGATATGAACTGAGATATATAGATAAATAGATAGTTACATAGATATGAACAGAGATATATAGATAAATAGATAGTTACATAGATATGAACATAGATAGATAGATAGATAGATAGATAGATAGATAGATAGATAGATATGAACAGAGATAGATAGATAGATAGATAGATAGATAGATAGATAGATAGATGGATAGATAGATAGATAGATAGATAGATATATGCATACATTGTGTTATTTTCTTTGGACACAGCGCTGAAAATTTTGAAGGTTGATCGTAATGAACTACTTTTTTTATAAAATCAGTAAAATAGATTTAGCGGATGTGTAGGTAGGCTAATGATTACCTACGTGTAAAGGTGGAAGGTCAGGTTAAAATCTTCACCTTGTCTCTTGCAAAAATTAAGACAATATTTGCATTATTGTCATTATCAAATATATAAATAGTTATTTTTCTCCCTCAGTAGCAACACCCACCAATTATGTATTATATATCAAAGTAGACTGGGCACTCAAGCCTTGAGTGACAGCCAGTCTATAAGAAGAATATCTCTGTATTTATATATGTGGAAAAAAACAACTTGAAACTTCTCCAGTATCTTGGAAATTCGCAAATGACAATGAATGTGCGGATAGCTCTGAGAAACCTGGTATTAAAAAAACAACAATCAACTTTTCAGTATCCTTTCAATTCAGTGTCTATAATATCACTGCATGCATAAGTATATATATATATATATATATATATATATATATATATATATATATATATATATATATATAACAATGGACACATATTGTTATACAAATTGAATAAAGAAGTTGCTTAAATTGATTGATTAGTTGCCAACGTAGAACTAAATACTGGCACAACAGGTTTTGGCACTGATTAATAGTCAGGTTTTTGTATATTTATCACTCTAGTGACACTAACAACTGTAATCATAGCAATATAACCATTATATTTTTTACGTAATTCTAAATTCATAGATTCTAACTACTGATAGATAGATAGATAGATAGATAGATAGATAGATAGATAGATAGATAGATAGATAGATAGATAGATAGATATTAACAAACTGAGATAGATAGATAGATAGATAGATAGATAGATAGATAGATATGAACAAACTGAGATAGATAGATAGATAGATAGATAGATAGATAGATAGATAGATAGATATAAATAAACTAGAGATAGATAGATAGATAGATAGATAGATAGATAGATAGATATGAAGAAACTGAGATAGATAGATAGATAGATAGATAGATAGATAGATAGATAGATAGATAGATAGATATGAACAAACTTAGATAGATATGAACAAACTGTAGAGATAGATATGAACAAACTGAGATCGATATGAACAAAACTGAAATAGATAGATATGAACAAAAACTGAACAAACAAAATGATAGATCGATTATGAAATATAAATATATATATATATATATATATATATAGAGAATAGATAGATAGATGAATGAATGATTAATAGATGAATAGATAGATAGATATAATAGAATATATATATATATATATATATATATATATATATAGAGAGAGAGAGATATAGAGAGAACAAATAAATAGATAGATAGATAGATAGATGAATAGATAGATATATAGATAGATAGATTATGAACATATATATATATATATATATATATATATATATATATATATATATATATATATATATATATATATATATACATAAAAGATAGATTATGAACATATATATATATAGATAGATAGATAGATAGATAGATAGATAGATATGAATAGAGAGATAGATAGATTATGAACAGATATATATATATATATATATATATATATATATATATATATATAGAGAGAGAGAGAGAGATAGATAAAGATAGATAGATAGATAGATAGATAGATAGATAGATAGATAGATAGATAGATATGAATAGAGATAGATAGATTATGAACATATATATATATATATATATATATATATATATATATATATATATATATATATAAAGATAGATTATGAACAAATATAGATAGATAGATAGATAGATAGATAGATAGATAGATAGATAGATAGATGAATATGAACGGACTGAAATAGATAGATGTCTGTGGTGGTAAAGAGAGAAAATGGCTGACATGTAAGCAGCTATATTATTTCTTTCTTTATATTAATAATAATCATTCTGTCCAAAAATCTTTTGACAGTTCATGTTAAGGCTCATATGTTATCTATATTTCTGTATTACTTGGATATTGTCATATTTCTTTGTTTATTTTTCTTTTACTATACCCCCTTCTTTCTTTCTCTCTCTCTCTCTCTCTCTCTCTCTCTCTCTCTCTCTCGCCCTGTTTCTTTTTCTCTTTCTCTCTCTATCTCTCTCTTTCTCTGGCCATAATCATCGTAAAGTTTATCATTCCCTTTTAGTGATAAAAACAAAATTATATCTTTTTAGCATGCATGTTCTTCTGAACTAAACCTGCCAAATCCTAGTAGCATCAGAGGTACTTACTGTGTCAAGTGACTTTATTTATTTATTTATTTATTTTTTAAAATACTTTTATGTCATTTTTGTCTTTCTGTTTGTTTATTTTTCATTTTTTATTAGTTTTTGTTGTTATTGTTTTGGTATTTTTGTTCTGTTTTTGTTTTATGAGACTTGCTTTTATTTTAAACGTAAAGTCGGCTAGAGTTTCATAACGGATAAAAGTTGACAAAATGGAGACTGTACGACAGCTTTCCTTTAACGAACTGAAAGCTTAAACATTTATTTAAATGTGTACCTCCAAAAATAAATTAACTGAGAAGAACTGACAGACAAACAGACATGAACAGACTTAGATAGATAGATAGATAGATAGATAGATATGAAGAAACTGAGATGATAGATAGATAGATAGATAGATAGATAGATAGATAGATAGATAGATAGATAGATATGAAGAAACTGAGATGATAGATAGATATGAAGAAACTGAGATAGATAGATAGATAGATAGATAGATGGATAGATATGAAGAAAGTGTGATGATAGATATGAAGATACTGAGATGATAGATAGATAGATAGATAGATAGATAGATAGATAGATAGATAGATAGATAGATAGATAGATATTAAGAAACTGCGATGATAGATAGATTGATAGATATGAAGGAACTGTGATGGTAGAGAGATATGAAGAAACTGAGATGATAGATAGATAGATAGATAGATAGATAGATAGATAGATAGATAGATAGATAGATAGATAGAAACTGTGATGAGAGAGAAAAGGTGGTAGATATGAAGAAACCCAGATGATAGATGGATAGATAGATGATAGATAGATGGATGGATGGATAATTAAGAAACTCAGATAGATAGATAGATGAGATAGATGGATAGATAGATGGATAGATAGATAGATAGATGGATTTGAAGAAACACAGATAGATAGATGGATAGATGGATGGATAGATAGATAGATAGATGGATAGATAGATGGATGTGGAAGAAACTGAGATCATAGATAGATATGAAGAAACTGGGATGATAGATAGATGGATGGATAGGATGGATAGATAGATAGATGGATATGAAGAAACTGAGATGATAGATAGATAGATAGATAGATAGATAGATAGATAGATAGATAGATGGATTGATTGATAGATAGATAGATAGATAGATAGATATGTAGAAACTGAGATGATAGATAGATTAATAAATAGGAAGAAACTCAGATGATAGATAGATAAATAGATAGATAGATAGATAGATAGATATGAAGAAACTGAGATGATAGATAGATAAATATGAAGAAACGCAGATGATAGATAGATAGATAGATAGATAGATAGATAGATAGATAGATAGATATGAAGAAACGCAGATGATAGATAGATAGATAGATAGATAGATAGATAGATAGATAGATAGATAGATATGAAGAAATGCAGATGATAGATAGATAGATAGATAGATAGATAGATAGATAGATAGATAGATAGATAGATATTAAAATAGGCTACCTCTCCTCATGTGCCGCTATGCAGTGGTAAAATACACATACGATAAAGAGTGGGAGTTTCCGATTTGTCTAAGCTTGCTTTAAATCTAAAGCTTCTTCTTTCTGACGATACATTTTCTCTATGTAGGATGCTTCCTAAGTGTCATATCTAAAAATAACGTCTTCTTTTTTTCTTTTTTTTTTATTCATTTTTATTTATTTATTTTTCAAGATTAATGTTTCTTCGTTCAGTACAGCGCGTTTCAGTTTTAAAATGATTTTTTATATGCCATGTCCCTTGATAACGTAGGCGATTATGGCTCACCGCAACTCCTTTCCAATCTTTATTAAAATGTCAGTATACATGAATAAATTAACATAAAAAAAAACTAATAATATATTTACGCTCGGTAAAATATTTGTATAATTTTAATAGTACAATTTAATTTGTAACAGTAAGAGATAGATCAAGTATCCACCATCATAAAGACTGAAAAATAAAATTGACAAACATTATTGTTTAAGGTTGACGGACACGCATGTCTTAATTAGTGTTTTTTTTTTTTTTTTTTACGAATTGGTCAAACCCAAACTCAAACAAAACGTTGTTTTCAATCGTTTTGAGTCTACCGATTGAATAGAGTAATTTTATAAACAATTGTCTTGTAAATGGAATTTTTAAAGCATTCTGAATGTAAAAATAAAGAAAAAAGTGTGCAAGACAATAAGAAACACTACCTGCCAAAAAAAGTGAAGTTTTGTTGAAATCAGTTGAAAAAATGTAGGTAGCCTTTCTGTAATCTTTTAGTTTTACAATTTATGATTTTTACTTATTGAATACAGTAAAAAAAAAAAATTGCATATTTTGCTTGTGGTGATTCATAATTAAATTCTGATTTGAATATATTTTCCACTCGTTGTTTCTAATACAAAAAATATTAACTTTATTTGGGTTTATTAATTATGATCTAACAAATCTTATTCATTTAGTAGCCTTTCTGTAATAATAATCTTTTACAATTTATGATTTTTACTAATTGAGTACAGTAAAAAAATTGGACACCATGTGTATTTAAAGTAGTTTCCCGTTCCGGTTATTATTTTTAGTTAGGACTTGTGTATGTTTAGATTTCATTATCTTTCCCTAAAGATAAAGAATTTATTCCGATGTTTGTATTCGTACAATCAGTAGAGATCGTTAGATTATTGTTTAAGGTTGACGGACACGCATGTCTTAAATAGTTTTATTTTTTTTTTATTTTTTACGAATTAATCAAACTCAAACAAAAACATTGTTTTCAATCGTTATGAGTCTACTGATTGAATAGAATTTTATTATAAATAATTGTCTTGTAAATGGAATTTTTAAAGCATTCTGAATGTTAAAAATAAAGAAAAAAGTGTGCAAGAGAATAAGAAACAGTATCTGCCAAAAAAAAAAAGTGAAGTTTTGTTTTATCGGCTGAAAAATATAGGAAATCCGCTCCCATATTTAAAGTAACCCACACACACACAAACAACCCGATGTGAGTTGCCCCCATTCCATTTTCATGATGTCTCTTAATCGTGTTTTCAAATTGATTTTGTGCAAAAACAATTATATTTTTCCCATTTTTGGCGCTGTTAGAACCACCACAAGGTAATTTTATGTAGTCATGTGAAGTTTTGTTGAAATCGGTTGAAAAATGTAGGAAATCCGATCCAATATATAAACGTTACACACACACACACACACACAAACTGCGTTTTATAATAAGTAAGATCTGTGTATGTGTTCGTTTTCATAGGCGTGCGCTCCAACAGTAACGAATGCCTACACATATATGTTTTAAAATGCAACACGGATATATGCCAACATGTACACACACATACATATGTGTATAATTATATACACGTGAATATATTGATGGATGTATGAAACTACCCAACATATACGTGTCACTATTTACACGCATTTGTATATATCATAAAATATATATGTGAGTGTGGATATGCGAATATAAATGTTAGTGTGCATACATACACTATATATATATATATATATATATATATATATATATATATATATATATATATATATAGTGTATATATTTGTAAAACCACTTAACTTTAAGTTAAACTACGAATGTAGGTATATGTATATTTATTAATATATACTTCCTAGCTCTGTCTAACCACATTGAGCACTGTTTTGCTTACACATGATATCAAATTAAGTAAATATTTATTCTCTTATCTGTGTATTCTCGCTGACGGGCACATATACAATTACTAACACCTAATTATTTGTTTTATATATTGAATTCCATATATATATATATATATATATATATATATATATATGTATATGAAGAAATATAGTCTTAAGATGTGCTACATTTATGGGATAAAGTGCTCAATATCAGAGATAGAACGTGTGTAAATATAAAAGTGAACATTGGAGTCAACACTTAGAGGCGACAGGCTGTTTCATGCTAGACGCAATCGTCATACTACCTTATATATATGTAAGTTTGCACGCTAAAGTGTAATTTAGTAGTCTAAACAAATAGTAAGCATGGTTCCACAATTACTTTGCCCAGGTTACTGTCGCATTTGATCATATGTGTCAGTGCATACAAATATACAGATGTCATGAATAGACAGTAAGTGCGAAAGATCCATATATATTTCCGTTTATAGGCGTAATTTGGACATTTTCGGATAAACAAGAAAATACTTTATTAATCCAACGATATTTCTAAGGTAAGATTTTATTAAATATATTTTATCATTTACTTAATCTGTATTGATTTGTATAGATACCTGTTATTAGGCACGAACTTCCTTTTTATATGACGTGCCCTCACAGGATCTAAGCTCCCCAGGGCTCTCCACAACTGCCTGTCCCTTGCAACTCTTAATAAATTTTGTTTTTTCGCTATTTCTCCTACTCAAACCCATCAAGAATGATTTATTATGTTTTCTACTGTTTCTCTTGCCTTCAATCTGTCCAATGGATATCAGATTCTCCAAACCCTCTTTCTTCATTATGTGCCCCAGAAATTTCAACTATCACTTCCTGATGTTACCTATAAGGTTTCCTTTTTGTTGGTATTTTTCTTTCGGCCCATAGTATCCTCATCATCCTTATGTAGAACACATTTCTGTTGCTTCAAGTCTCTTCTTCATCTTTGAAGTGAGTGCACAGCATTCACTGCCATACAGGAGGACTGATATCACTTAACAGTTTAGTACTCTTTTCTTTGCTTCTAACGAAGTTTTTTTTCTATCTCCTAATACTCTGCTTAGCTTTTGGAAAGCTTCTTTTTGGAATGCTTTCCAAACGCGTCTTCGGATTTGAATGCCGCACTTTCCATCTTCTGTTAGAACACTTCCCTAATATTAAAATTTTTGTTCTACTTTACTTTGATTGCTACAACAACCAAATTTTATTATGTTATTTTCATTATATATATATATATGTAAGCAAATATATGGATATAAATCCGACAGTATGAAAGAAAAATACAGAAAAATTATTTTAACATTAATAATGCATATTCAAATTTTGTTTTCTGTATTTTTCTTTCATATATATATATATATATATATATATATATATATATATATATATATATATATATATATGACGGAACAATAAATGTATATCATGTTGAAATAAATGTATTTTTCTGATGAATGACGCGAGTGAAAAACATCGTCGATGAAACATATATATATATATATATATATATATATATATATATATATATATATATATGATCGAAATAAAAGTATAAAACTTAATATTACAGACATATTAAACAAAACGGGTGGTTTTTCGCTCCCGCTCTTCAGGCTTCAACAGGAGCTTTAAAATTAACACAGAAAAAATGTACAATAAAAGGAATTGTAAAAAAAAAAAAAAAAAAAAATATGCAAAAGGAACTAGAGACAAATGACAGCGAGTCCCAACAAACACTCACGTTGTTTGCACAAAGAAGGCTTGCGGGACCCGATGTAAAGTGCCTCCAGAACCTTTAGATGAAATAGAGTAAGACCGGGACAACACGGTGAACCAGTCAACACTAAATTTGGCTGCACAATCTCTGTTCTTTAATAAGTGTTCGCATATGGCGGAACTATAGGTGTTCGGGACGAGTCTTTTATTGTACATTTTTCTGTGTCAATTTTAAATCTCCCGTTGAAGCCTGAATGTAGCGCTTTCATTGTGCATTTTGCAGTTTTACCTCATCTTACACCAGAACTCCTTGACTTCCTGAATATTTGGTGAGCCACTTACCCTTTATTTTATTTTTCCAAGTACTCTTGGTATCTTTTTTAAAGACAAATCGTTTTTTCATAACGCCTGATTTGTTGTACCTTCGCTTGAATTTGTTGTTTCAGCTTCTCTTTAACTTTTGGTACGACAGTCTTATTCTTTATGTCAAGGCTTTGTTTCAGTTGTCTCCTTTTTCTTTCTTTCATTTTGGAGCCCTTTTCTACTTCACTTACAAGTGACAATTGTCCTCGTAGTTTATTTATTTCGGTTTTCTATTTTTTCCTTTTTCTTTATCGTTTACGTTGTGTTTTTACTTTTTCATCTATTTTTTCTGCGATCGTTGCCGTGGCTGCGTATATAAGATGATTAATTTATGTCATATTAATCGGTCTTTCTATTTCTACCCTTATTTTTCTAATTGCTTGGTTAGCAAGGTTGATGGTTTCCTTCACTTGAGGGTTCTTTCTTACTTTTGTAATTGTTGGTCTTTCCTCGAAAGACATTTCCTTTACATTTTCCCATTTATCTTAGATGTTTTTGTCATCCCTGTTTTTCTCTCATATTCTTCATTATCTTCCTCTATTAGAGTGATTATTACAAACGATTTCTATTTGTTCCTCTACATGTGTCTTCTCTGTGTTGTTGGCATTTAGTCCCTCGATGTTAACGTTTAAGCTATCTTTGATGTTTTCTTGGATGCTTTCGAGTTCTGTGTCAGGTATTATTTTTTTCTACATGATAACACGCCTAACACGCCTAGTTTGTTGACATCGATATTTAGTCTGCTTGAAGGGTGTTTTTTTTCCCGTCAGATACTATAGGCGGCTTCAGTGGTCGTTGTCGGATTTATCGTAGTGGTGTAAAAGGGTAT